GGTGGATTAATCCACTGATATGGTTTAACCGGGTGGCAACTGTAGGCAGGTAGGGGGTGGCTAAAGGAAGTAGGTCACTGGGGTGTGCCTTTGGAGTTTATTTGTCCCTGGTGTGTGGGGCTTGCTTTCTCATTCCCATGTCCTGAACTGTCCTCCTCTGCCATACCCTTCCGCCATATTGTTCTGCCCCACCTTGGGCCCAGAGCTATGGATTCAGCCATTGATGGACTGAGACCTTTGAAACCATGAGCCAAAATAAAATTTCCCTCCTCTAGGTTCTTGTCAGGTCTTTTGGTCCCAGCAATGAAAAAGCTGATTAAAACAGTAGGGATTATGTTGGCCATTTGGTGTGTTTATTAATTCCTTTATTCCTCCATTACTACCTCTGTTTATATTAAATGGATATTTTTGTGGTGTAGTATTTTAATTTCCCTCTTGTTTCTTCTTACATTCTTTTGAGTTATTTTCCGAGTGGTTGCCTATGCGCTACAATTAGCAACTTAATTTATAACAATCCAGCTCAGATTAATACCAATTTAATAATAATAATTGCAAAAATGTGCTTTTACATAGCTCTGTTCTCTCCCCACTCTCTTGTTCTATTATTACCAAATTATATGTTTATGTATCGATGTCCATCAGTGCAACTTTACGATTGCCTTACGCAGTTGACTTTTAAGTCAAAAAGGAAAAAGAGCTACACACCCAGTTACATTCACGCTGTCTTTTGTAATTCCCTGTCTCGTTACATTTACCCAGGCTCTTTATTTCTTCATGTAGGATTGAGTTACTGTCTGTGTCCTTTCGTCCCCTCCTGAAGGACTGCCCCTAGGATTTCTTGATGGGCAGGTCTGCTAGTGTTAAATAGTCAGTTTTTTTTTTTGTTATTTATTTAGGAATGTCTTAATTTTGCCTTTATTTTTTGAAAGGTAAGTTTTGCCAGATAAAGGATTCTCGGGCAATATTTTTTTTTCCTTCAGCACTTTGAATATGTCATTGCTCTGCCTCGTGGTTTGCACAGATGTGGATGGGAGCTCAGCTGTAAATCTTATTAAGGATCTCCTGGACGTGACGAGTCTCCTCTCTCTTGCTGCTTTCAAGATTTCCTGTCTTTGATTTTTGACAGTTTGATTATGATGTTCCTAGGTGTGGATCTCTGAGTTTATCCTACTTGTTAAGCTTTGTAAAATCTCACATTTGATTTCCCTCTTCCAAATCTCAGAAAATCAGCGATTCTTGGCAACTCTACATCCTGAATCCTTTCACTTTTTTCCATCTCCTCGTCCTGCCCTGACCCACACCTTCCTCACCTTCCTCCTGGCCTGGGACAGCAGCCTCCCTACATCATCTCCCTACAAACCTCTCCATTCATTCTCCACCCACCAGGAAAAGAAGTGTTCTGCAAACATTGATCAGATCGCCACGCTCCTCTGCTTACAACCTCAGAGCTCCCCATTTCATTTTGAATTAAGCTCTGAACTCAGTCCCTCACCGTCTGGCCCTGCTGGCTTTCCATCCCCTTCCATCCTTCCTCCCTGCCCCAGTTCATGCCACCACCTTGGCTATTTCTAGAACATCCAAGCTCAGCCCAATCTAGGGTCTTCACAGTGCTGTTTCCTCCGTCCTGAGGGAAAGGGGGTTCACCCAAGGTTGGCTCCCTCTCTTCAATCAAATTCTAGCCTAAATGTGACCCAGGAAGCAGTTCCCCACTTACTCCCTAACTCATCACCTGCATTTTTCTTATTTATATATTCGCCTCTTATCTACAGATAGATTCCCACTGGAACCGACCTCCATTTAAACTAATTTGATTATCTTACTACTAGAAGAGTAGAGGCTAGAAGAATGGCCAAAGTACACAGTAGCTCCTAAAATACTTGTTGAGCCAGGTGTAGTAGTGCATGCCTGTAATCCCAGTGACTCGGAAGGCTGAGACAGGAGGATCGAAAGTTTAAGGCCAGCCTCAGCAATTTAGCGAAGACCTAAGCAATTTAGTGGGATCCTGTCTCAAAATTAAAAAAAAAAAAAAAAAATATATATATATATATATATATATGTATATGTATGTATGTATGTATATATATATATATATATCAAAAGGCATGGGAGTGTAGCTCAGGGGTAAATTGCCCCTGAGTTAAATCCCCAGTACTCCAAAAATAAAATAGATAAAATAAAATACTTGTTGACAGAATAATGGTAATCCCTATGCCCAACAGGGAGATGTCATTTATTTCCAAGGTCTTCCATATAGTGAGAGCTGCACGGAGCCCCAGGAGGCAATGAAGGTTCCAAACCTGCCTCCCCCAACAGCAGAGACCTGGTCCCCAACTGCTTTTGTTTCAGCTGCATTTTTATCACTTTTCAATTCATTAATCATTGATCATTCAGCTACGGTTTCCATGGCAATCCTTACCCAACCAGAATATTCTATCATCCAGGACACTATCTACTCCACCCTTATTGGAGAACCCAGGAAACTAACAAGGTGTTTTCTGGCCTCAAGCTAAGGGTAAGGTCCTCAGTGGGGAAACTAAGGCCAGGGGTGTCCTTCAGATGGGGGGTTCAAGTCATAAGGAGCCCCCTGGTTTGAATGAATGGCTCGTTTCGGTCAGGCAGGTCAACATTGCAGAGGAGCAGTGTGCAGCTGAGACGTGGGTCCTCTGTCTTCAGATCAGGTTAGCAAGGAGCATTTTGGTCCCATGCTTTGGGCTCGAAGCTCCCCAGCTGCAGGGAGGAAGTTATCTGAATCATCAGCGGTTCCCAGGGTCTGCTCTAGCAAGAGGCAGTGTCGCGGATGGGGTGGGTCAGCTCCGCACCTGGCATGTGCACAAAATGAGGAAACCCTTCGTCCCCTTCCCAGGGCCACCTGGGATTTTCATCAAGGGAATTTGTAATAAACTGCTCTCCACGTGGCCTCGTCATGGCGGGCTCCAAAGACCCGAGCTGAAGGCATGTGGCCTAATTTCGCCTTTTCCCAACACTAAGAGGGTTTAGTTCCTTCGAGATCATAATTCACAATGCCGAAGATGGACTCCAGGGACCTTGGTGAACCCCTGGTCTTGGCTTCAGAGGTTACTTTCCTGTTGAGCCTTGGTATCAAGCACATCCTGTCAGGTGGCCCCCAGATTAGACTCTTGGGTAGAGTCAAACCAAGATAGATTCTGTAGCTGCTAAGTATAAAAATGGAGGGCTGGGGATGTGGCTCAGTGGTACAGCACTTGCCTGGCATGGGCGAGGCACTGGGTTCAATCACCAGTACTGCCAAAAAAAGACAGAAGTGGCCAGTGGTGACAGAAATGGGGAAACTATCAAGGCCCCCGATCAGGGCCAGGTGGGAACAGAGGGGGCGCAGGGTGGAAGCAGGGGTGCTGGGTTCCTCAGAACCAAGGAGCAGAAGGCAGAGGTGAGTGGGAGTGGGTGGTGGAAGGACAGGGCCTTCAGAGTCGCAGGCCGGCTGTGCCCCTGGGTCTGCCCTTCACTGGCTGTGGACTCCAATTGCAGCTTTAATTGTTCTGAGTTCACCTGCAAGGGGTAGCCTTTCAGGAGTTTGTTAAATGAATTAAACGAGATGCTAAGTGGATTAAATGGGATGCTAAATAGATCTGTGGGGCACCTGCACAGATTAGGCGCTGAGCAGAATGTCACCTGGAGGCAACTCAGGGTCCCCTTGCTGAGCTCGATCCTCAATCCTCGGGTTGAGAAGAGAGTGACAGCCTGGGGACACAAAGCCTGCTGGGCGTCCACAGCCTGGCGCTGGGCAGGGAGGGGCAGACCTGGGCTAAACCCTCCCACAGGCCCACAGTGTGCCCTCAGGGTGCCCCCCCCAAGCCTCAGCAGCTGTGCTTCTGCCCACCCCTCCTACCCTCGGCCTGACAGGGAACACAAAGCCCAAAGCATCTTCCAGTGCATTTTAATCAAAATTCCATCATGAAGAGAGTTCTCGTGGCATACAATATCAGGATGAGCACGTCAACTTGGTCCTACGAATGGAATCTCCACAGATTTGCACTTCAAACAGGTATGAAAAATAAAATATATAATATTTAGCTTTGTAAATTTCCCCACTTAATCACTTTCCCTTTAAAATAAGTTACAATGTGTTAAGCAGCCTGGAGTCACTAGCAGATATCAAATGACACCCATTTCCCTCCCAGTTCTGGGGAAACAGTAGATGGGACGGTGAACTGCTCACGGGACCCACGAGGATGAGGACAAGCACGAGCCTCGCAGGGCAGGACACCAGGAGTGGGAGCCTCCTAATGGCTGTTCTCTTCTGCTGGGAAAAAATAACCCCCCCAAGCCACGGGGATGGTTGTAAAAGCCGCAGATGAACTTTGGCACCACATGAGAAGAGAGGCCTTTCAAAGCCACCGAGCAAGCGATGATTCAGTCAGGGATGATTCAGTCAAAGGGGGGGTTTGAGGAAAGGTGGCAGAGGGGGAGGGGTCAGCTGTCACCACCCTCCTCCATTCTGGAGCCAGGACACCCCCTCTGCTTGGGAGAAGGCAGGCTTCCTGGTGGCAGCTGCCCCTGCAGGCTTGAGACTCCTCGGACAGGGACTCACAATGCTGTCACCAGCAGGGGTGCACTCCACACAAGGGATGGGGGATGGCTGCACAGCTATTAAAGGGGACAGACACAAGGACACCAGGGACCCAAGGGGCAGGCAGGGCTGGGCAGCGCCAGCACTTACGGGGACTCTGGAGAGGGGCTTGTGGACCTCACCCCTGGCGGGGAGTCAGCTCTTTGCCCACATGCGGCTCAGGCTTCTTCCCAGGGGACTCCAGTATGACCCCCAAAACAACAAAGTCTTAGGGAGGAACAAACATGCTAGTGACAAATGCTGCCACCCAGCCTCCGTCTCGAAATCCTCCAGGAATGGGCTTTGGGGTCCCGCCCACGAGGGCAGGAGGTTTGACACAGTTTGGCTGGGGAGTAACTGGCCCTGAACTCCCCATAGGGACAGCCTGGTCCCCTCCTGATTGGGGAGAAGGTGGCTACAAGTCCAGGAGGCGCTCCTCACAGGTCTCCACGGGCCACTTGGAAGCTCCTCCAAACACATCGACGTTGTTGTCCACCCAGGGGATGATGTTGCCTGGCATGTTCGTGGAGCAGTTGGCGATGTTGACGATTTCTTGTGCGCGAAGAACTCGGTCCCATATGTTGAACTGGCTGAGCTCTCCCACGAATGCCTGCGTGGCATCGAACCTGCCCCCCACAGTGTCCTGGGAAACGGAACAGGACATCCACATCAGGCAGGACATCCACATCAGGGTGCGTGCACATGCAAACTCGGCTGCTCACTCTCCAGGGACACGGGTGGGAGGAGCACCCCCCACACACCCCCACCTGCCAATCACACCCAGACCCAGACTGTATGGGTCCTCGGGTTCCAGGGCACATCAGACCTGGAGACAGCTTTCCTCAAAGCACCCATTTTATATGGGGGAAATTGAGGCCAGAAAGGAGACACTTGCCTAAAGCTGGGAGAGTGGCTGGGCCTCCAGACTCCCAGCCCTCAGGGGACAGGCAGTGGAGGAACTAAGGAGGGAAGGGGGCCAAGGAGGGCCCGGCCTCCAAGCCCCACCCAGCGCCTTCCACTGTCCTCACACCTTAACACAGGCTGGCAGGGTGACTCTCCTCTGCCCCCAGCCAGCCACTGCTCCCCTCACCTAGATGGCAAGTTCCTCGGACTTGAGGTCTCCCTGTCCCCTCCCCATCCCCCTGCAGGTTGTGTTCCCCCAGCATTTCCCAAGTGCCCCTGCTGGGGCCAGGGCCAGACCCTGGACAAGGAGCTCCTGGATTCCAGCTGCAGCATCCTGTGCCAGCCAAGGCCAAGTGCTCACGGCGGTTTGCAGGGGCCCTGGAAGATGCCTCTCCACCCCAGAAGGAAGCTGGACCCGAATCCCAAGATGCACTGTGACCACAGGGACACTCCTGCCCCTGGGTCAGAACCACCACACCAACCTGGTCCCTGCCAGTGCTGGCTATATCCCCATGCCTGCCCTGAGACAGCATGAGCCAGCCTGCCAGGGACCTCATTGTCCCTCAGGCCACAGTGGCCAGATCTGTGGGGCAGACAGCTTGGGTGGGCAGCTTGCGGGGAGCCTGTGCTGCTGGCCTGGCATCCCCACCTTGCAGCATCCAGGGAAGGCACCCACCTGCTCCTGCCCAAGGATCAGCACACCTCCTGGCTTGATAGGGTGCCAGGGGGCCAGGTTCTCCCCAGTGCCAAGCTTCTCTCCATCCTGGAAAGCTTCCCACATGCCATCCCGTGTCGTCCAGGTGATACATATGTGGTGCCACTTGCCGTCGCTGACAAATAAGGGCAGCTGTGCAACCTGTGGGTAGCAATGCACAGTGAGGACTGCTGGGCTCTGACCTACAGGGACGCCCCCAGGGCAGGTGAGGCAGGTACCTGGGTGTCCCAGGGCCAACGCTTCTCCCTTTCCCCTGGATCCTGCTGGACTTCCCAACAGGTGGTGACACTCCTGACACTCACACACAGATGGAGGCAGAGGGCAGCCTCGGCACAAGCCCCTGCTGTGACAAGGACACTCTTGGCTTGACTGAGGGCCTACCTTCCCATGGGAGCTCTGAGCTCTAGGTGCAGAGCCCAAGGGAGTCAGCCCCTCCCCCTCCCCCCATCCCCCATCCAACTTGGGAAAATAGTCAGAACTGGGATCCTCTCTCAGGCAGAGTCCCGGATCCCCCAGGTGGCACTCAGGGATCTGAGCGTGCTGGGGGGCGGGGGGGGGGGGGTGCCACGTCCTGGGTCCTGCCTGTGCAGAGGGCTGGAAGCCTCTGAGTGTGTGCATGAGCAGGCTCCAGCCACCTGTGAAAGCCACCCAAGGGAGGCTGTGCACCGCCCTGTTGTTACTGCTGGTCTCCTAGCAACCTCAAGCCTCCCTCCCGGGAATCAGATGTTTACAAGAGGTCTAAATACAGAGGAAAACAAGGCCCTCAGGCCTGCAGTGTCCTGGGGTGTTATTTAGAGCAATTAATCCTTGGCTCAGGGACGAGGCTGCTGCTAGGCCCCCACTGCCAACTTAAACAAAGTCTACCTGGGGCACTTCAGGGAAGACCACAGAGCCAGGGGTTCAGCTCCCTCCCCATCCAGCCCTGGAGTGGCTTCAGCAGCCAGGGAGTGAATACAGCCATCAAATGCTCAGATGCACCCAGGAGGAGGAGGAGGCACATTTGTTGAGTATGACCTTAGAAGGAAAGTTTGGAGTTGGGGCTGCAGGCAGGTCCCAGTGGGCCCCACCCCTCTTTCAAGGAAACCTCATTTCTAAATGCCTATTACAGAGGAGCAATTGCTTTGAAAGAAGAAAGACTATGGGTCCAGAGAACAGATGGGCAGTTGGCATGGGCTGGGGCAAGAGCTGACTATAAAGGAAATGAGGAAATCGGGGTGATGACGCGTTACATTAAACATACATGCTGTTTTATATGTGTATAAACACAAACTGCTCATGTGTCTATATCAGATGTATATTATTTTTGTGGTTGTGGTTACACAACTGAATGCATTTATCAAAACTGGCCAAAACATACATTAAAAAGTGTAAATTTCATCATATGCAAATTATTTCAATAAGCCTGATCTCTCAAAAAGGCATGCCCAGAGCAGCCGTCACCCTCAGACGTGCACACGCGCCCTTTGCCAGAACACTTGGGCGAGTCAGCCAGGCTGTCCCTGCATGCAGATCTGCTCTCTGCTCCTCCCACTCCCTTGGTGACTGGACTCTCTGCTGCCTCTTGGCCAGACTCACAGCTTGGATCACCACCAGCGGCAGCTGCCCCTAGGCTTGCCTGGCTGCCACCCCTCAGAAGGGACTGACTCAGTGCAGAGCTGTCCCTATGAGGAGGACCGCTCTGCTGACGCAGGCCTGTGGCCCCTGCTCTGTGGATGAAGGCAAGTGTGGTTGGCTGGGATCTGGACAGCGTGGTAAAGGCTGGCCGGTGCTGACACCCTCCAGATGTCCACCTCCCTCAACACCTGGATCCACTGCCTGAGGGGTGGGGAGCGCGAGCAGGCCTACCTTGTCATTGATGAGCAGCTCGATGGGGTTGTTACCCCACTCGATCAGCACGATCTCATTGGCCTGCCCGGGCACAGCGTAGGAGAACGGGGTGCCGATGCCCGGCGAGGCACTGGACCGCAGCCACAGGCAGATGGTGAAGGCATACAGCTCGGGCAGTGTCTTCTTGATCTTGCCATACAGGTAGTTTGTCCGGAGAGGAAGGGAGACTTTGAATGCATCTGGTGACTTAAATGCACTGTTGCCTGGGTGGAGAGAGAAGAAGCCACAGCAAGTTAGACCACCCTCCTCCAGCCTGGGCAGGGGAGTCTCTCGGGGACCCCATGCAGGCAGCCCCTAGAATGACTGGCTACCTGTCACATGCTGGCCTTGTTCCAAGTGCTAAAGTCCAGCAGCCAGAGAGACAGTGCTTGCCCTCAGGGAGGGATGGGGAAGACAGACAAGGACCCAGCAGTAAGCGAAAAGGGAAATCGGGCAGCAATTCCAGCTATGAGTGGCTGAGGTGGCCAGCAAAGGATGGCGACCTCAGGGCATGGAAAGGTCTGCCACCAACAAGGACCACCCCATAAGTACCAGCCAGTACAAGGCCCAAGAAGGCCCAGGAAAGGGGAGAAAGAATCTCCTGTGAGCAACGCACTAGACCCGGTAGAGAATTCTGCTTGTCTTTTAGGACAGGAGAAGAGGCCTATTTAAATCCAAAGGGAAAGCTCGGATCCCTTCTGGTTAACATTTCCTATTTTCTTAACTATCTACTTATTTATGATACTGGCTATTGAATCCAGGGTGCTTTACCACTGAGCTGCATCCCCAGCCCTTTTCATTTTTATTCTCTCTCCAGCAGGGTCTTGCTACACTGCCCGGGTTGGCTTTGAGCTTGCAATCTTCCCACCTCAGCCTTCCATGTTGCTGGAAATACAGGTGTGGACCTATATTCATTTTAATAAATTTTATTAAGCCCAGCTTAATAAAACACTGAAAAGCTTCAGGAAGGAGGTAGAGACAAGTTGGGTTTAATGTCCTCATTCATACGGGCATGAGGGAAGGTTCCAGAAAACCCTTCCTCAATGACATCCTCTGATTTTTCCTTGGCTTCTCTAGCAAGGGCAGGGTCCAGAACCCAAGGGGCCTTGTGCTGACAGGAGGAAAGTCTCACAGGGAACTAGACACTGCAGGAGTAAGCCCACGTCACTTGTCACACTAAATAATTACCACCACAAGGGCCAGGAGTCAGGCTCTGGGTCTTGACATTACAACTCCACTTACAAGTGGCTGTGGTCTGAATCTCTGCTGTGGACACCTTTGCTCCTGACTGGCCCTTTCATCCCAGGAGAGGCTGTATCTCCTGAGCATACCCTGAAGTACGGAACCAGTGGGAGGCAGAAGTGATGCCCTCACTCAGGGAACACACCTGGCCAGAGCCTTGCTGCTTCTAGACCTTTCTAGGACTGGTAAAAACCTCCCAGGTCCCCTGGACACCCACGTGGACACAGCACTTCTAAAATCCTTGAACACCAACTCTCAAGTGGATTTAAGTGACTTTCAATGCAATCTTGGTTTAATCTCAAAATGAATTTAACAACAATAGTCCCTGCTGCCACACATTCCAGTTTGCAGAAAACACTTGATTCTGTGAGGTGTCATGGTGACATGCTTTCCTCTATTTGGGGACCAGATCCTGCCACCGAAGGAGCCCAAATACCCTTCACTCATTCAACACACATTCAGTAAATACCCACAAGGTGCCCGATGGTCAGATAACCTTTCTCCACTACAACCCTCCCCCACTGGACTTGCTTTCAGAAGCCCTTTGGTGCCAGAGTTCACGGGGATCTGAGGAGGGCCTTCTGCACGGGACAGCAGCAGGGCTCAGTGTCCCCTCCCAGGCTCTGGAGCAGGCAGAGCATCAATACTAGGATCTGGTCTTCCCAGTTGGAGTCTCCCTGACTCACCCTGGCCTGGAAGCTGGGAAGCTGGGCCACAGTGAAGGCAGCGGCTGGGCCCTCATTAGGCCAAACAAAATCAGAGACAGAACCAGACAGTCCCCACTCCTCCATTTTGTAGACTGCACAGTTGAGGTGCTGAGGCTCAGAGAAATGAGGTGACTTACGCAAGGTCACACAGCTAGTGAATAACAGAGCAGGACTGGAAGTCCCTCTTTCCACCACATGTAGCCACCAGCACTTAATCTTCAAGTGGCAAATGGCCATGTTCTTAATGAAGGCATCATTATCTAATAAAGAGAAATGGCTTCTATGCTTGCAGGTGGGCCGGCTTGCCAATTTAATAAGAGTCAGTGTCGGTAATATCGTTAGCTTGGTGACAACAGATAGGTTTAATTAGAGTTAGGAGAGCTGAGGGCAGGGGAGGGGGCTCATACCCTGAAAGCTGGTGCCTTTTATTTGAATAAAAGAGCTTGGAGGTTCAGAGGAAACTTGGTTAAAACCAATTAAGGAATTAAAAGGCCTGACCAATAAATCAGAAACTGCAGGTGGCAGACAAGTCCAAGGAGGGGGGCGGGCAGCCTGGGGCTAGAAGCAGGAGGCTCTGGTCTTCTTGGTGCCAACACGGATTTCAACACAGAGCCGAGCTGCGCCTCGCCAGCTGGCCAGACTCTAGAAACCCTTGCAAAAGATCGGACCTTACAACAAGGAAAAACGGGCATCCTGGGGACCAGGTAGCATGAGCATTCACACCCAGGGGGTGGGGGCTGCCTGCTAAGCTCCTGGGAGCCTCTTGCCCAGCAGGGCCAGAACCTTCAGTCCTCCTCTGGGTCATCAACCTGAATCCCAGCTCTACAGTGGACACAGGCGTCACTGGCTCTTCCACTTCAGTCCCTCATCTGTAACAAATACCTGCCACAGGGTGGCTGCAGGGCCTAGAGGAGACAGAGTATGAAACCCACAGCCAAGAATCTGGCCCAGAATAGGCCCAGGATCGTGGACCATTGGCCAGAGATCCCCCACTTGCTACATTGTTGAAATCCACCTCCTCTGGGCTCAAGTGGTGCTGCTCAGGACCTTGATGTACTTTCCACCCATAGCACAATGTGGGGCTGGGTGGTTACACACCCCTTTACAATGGTCACAAATAGGACAGAGAACAAACTGGTAAGCAAATGGTCACTTTCCTTAAAGACTCCTCCACAAACTGAGTTGATAGAGCACAAGGAAGATTTCAGAGTTTCCATAGTGGGGTCAAAGGGCACCAGACCATAAAAGCTGAGCTGCTTCTCTTGAGCCAGTCTTCGTCAGGCATGGCCAACAGGGGCGTGGCCCCGGTGTCATCAAGTGTCCCTTCTGGGTTAGATAGCTCTGAGGACTTTTAGTGAGAACTATGGATGGTTGAACCAGGATGCCTGGGCCTGAGTCCTGACTCCTTCCTTCTGGCTGTGAACAGACAGGCTATGGATGGGAGGGGGTCTCCAAGGGGCAGCTCCTGGTGGCCAGAGCCACAATGAAGGGGATTGGAGTAAAGCACATGAAACACAGCGGTTGGGGGACAGACAAGAGGAAGGTGCAGGTTCACATCACTGTTGTCATTCAACAGTGAGTGGCCCAGGCCTCTTTGGTCCCCTTTACCCAAAGGACATTTGTCTGGCTGAGAAGTGAGATGCTTCTCATCTGTGAAATAAATATAACAGCAACCTAATCCCCAGAGGTGAGGCACTCAGCACCTGCCTGCCTATCTCCACGCTGACTTTGTGCACTCCTACAGCACGTCTCCTGGGGGCAACTTGGCCACTGTGCAAGAGAGCTACCAGCCCTCTGGGTTTCTGCTCTGGTTCTACAGCCTCCCCTCAAGACACTAAACTGCAGTGTGCCCACGTCATGGCCCTGAATGTCCCTAGGATCCACTGTGGTTGAGAGCAGGTCAAGGAGTCCACTCTGGCCGTGGCCAGATGCCACCTTCCACTCCTGCCTGATGGAAAGGCCTCCCCTGCAGCTATTCTGCCCTCAGGGAAGACTCTGAGACCTAACGGGTCTCCTGGTGTCACCCAGAAGCAGAGGGGAGGCAGAGAGGAAACTGTCTTTGACACTCAAGAAACCAAGTTAAACAGGTTAGCCACACTTCACCCTGTCAGGGAAGAAAGGATAGACTTCTCTGAAGAAAGAGATAAAAGGAAAGGGGTAAAAGAGACATGTGACTCATGGGATGAACAGACCATGAGTGAATCCCCTTCTCCATCTGGCCCTCCTCAGCCAATGTCATTACAAGAATCACTGGAATTCTGCTATTGGACATTCTCCTATCAAGTAATCCAAGTAATCAAAAATTGCCTTTGCCATGTTAGTGCATCTGAGAAGATTATTATCCTATACTCATTTCAGCAACCAAACTTCACACCTATGCCACCCAGCAATTTGGGAGTTGATAAATACAACCTGAATTATGTAGGGCCTTTGATTCCTCCCTTTGTCTCCTGTGGGAGAAATTTACCCACCACAGTGTGAACAGGGAAGAGAAAGATACCAGAATTTGCTGCAAGGATTAGTTGAGATGAAATGCCCATGTGGCAGAAGGCCAGAGATCGGGTTGTTTACCCAACCTGGTCTCCAATTCATTTGCCTTCCCATGGGTAATGCCAGTAGGACTGGGGACTAATTCCTGAGATGACCATTGTTGGTCACCTTTATTATTTGTACAAATGCCCAAGAACACCTCCATGTTATGCCACAATCACTGCTGTCCATAAACTAAAACCTTGGGTCTGACCACAAGTGATGAAAATCAGGCCATTCAGATAAAACAAGCACAGCACGTACCTCGTTCCAGCTCGGCCACCCTCTGCAGCAGTGCGTTCAGGGTGCTCTCTGTCTTCTGCCGGTGAGCGGAGGTCTCATTGTGGAGCAGGGACTTCTCGTCCTCGAGCTCTGCCACCTTGCGCAGCAGCTGCCTCTCCAGCTCCCCCAGCCGTCGCTGTAGCACCTCTCGAAAGTCGCTAGGCAGCCCAGCATTTGACACGTTCGTGCGGAGCTGGAGCTTTTAGTTGCCGAGAGAGAGGGGGACAAGAGGGAGAGACATTCAGGTCAGCTGAATAGAAATTGTGACATGTGGCTCCAATGGCCCGACCACACAGGGAGAAGCTTCCAAAACTCAGCATTAAATCATGCCAATGGCTCAAAAGGGAGCATTTCACTGATGCTTTTTTTTTTTAAAGGAAAGGATTTCAAAGTCAGACAGAATTACTTTGCTGCAGTATTTAAAACTTGCAAATCCCATTTTCCCCTCTCAAAGTTGCTTTTCTCCTCTGAATAAAAAATAAAAATTTTAACCACGCAATTCAGAAAAAGACCAAAACAGAGAGGATTGTGTTTTACAGCGTTAATCAATGGTACTCAGAGCTAGTGAGCTTGCATCTAGAAATGAAAGCATCCCCCAAGTTTCAGAGCAGTACAAAGTAAACACCTAGGCTTGCAGAGATATTCTGGAAAATGACAGACATAAAATGTTACTATTCTAAATTCCAGAAATATTTTTTTAATGCTATTTCTAAATCTTCACTTCCTATTTCTCTTATACCTCCGCCACCATGCTGGCTCTGGAAGCAGCCTGCTGCTGCCTTAGCCAAGAGCCCTTGGCAAGTTCTTTACCCCTTCCTACGTCCAAGTGTTCTAAACTGTAAACTGCAAAAAATAGAACTGCCTCATGCCATTCGTTGCAAGGGTTAAAATTAAGTAATATGCTTGACTTATATTTAGTCCTCAAGAAATGTTAGCTGTTAGTAATCACAATGACTAATAAGAGGTACAGATGCTGGAAATACTGTATTTAGCTGTCATGCCAAAAGAAACCCTCCAATAATTTAGCAATAATTACCACCTGTAATTTAAAACCTACTTTTGCTAATAGGTATGTTGATGAATGCTATTAACAGCTATGTCCACACTTCTTAAGTAGAGTGTAAAGAAAAATTAATTGATGATTTCTCTCTCAAAGTTCCAAACTGCACACATCTTTCAAGAAGAGCCAAGGGAATAAGGTCCCCTTCCCCCAAAGCTATCCTGAAGGGCACCTTATAATGGTCCAACTTAGTAGTCAGAGGCATCTTTGAAGTTAAGATGTTTGCTCTGATGCTAATTCTTAAGTCGCTGGCGGCCTCCCTGCACTCTCTTCTCAACGAGTCCCTGCCCCTTCTCTGGTTCAGTCCGACCCTATTTATAAAAGCAAACAGCACATGCCCAGGGCAGTTGACCTCCTGATGCAGCCTCACAGCACTGAACACAACCATCGGGAGCACACCCGGCTCAGAGATTTGGATTTAGCAGGGAGAGTTAAGAGGATATCCGGTCCCAGATATTTCGCTCCAGTCTTGATGGTCGGGGTTAGCTAGCTAGGATCTTGGGAAGTTCACAGTGGGCTCAGCGGGCAGTCCAGGCGCGCAAAGTTGGGGGATTTCAGCCCTTTCCAACAAGGAGATGGGGGTGGGCAGGAGGAAGGGGTGCGACGCTAAGGTCCAGGGCAGGTCCGAGACCCTCTCCCTGCACTCCCAAACTCAGCTCACCCCAAGGATAAGTGCACATCAGACAAGACCATGTACAGATCTCTAGCATAACCTCCATCCCACGACCCGAGGGCGTCACCCCCTAGATACCCCGGGCACGCCACTACCTCGAGGCTCTCCAGGCGGTCCTTGAGGGTCTGCAGCGAGCGGCTGAGCTGTTCCACGACGTGACCCGGGTCCCTCGGCAGGTCGCCCATGGTGTCCTTGCCCGTGGCCGTGCCCCGCGCCTTGCCGCCCGCCAGCCCCTCGCAGCGCGCCAGCTTGCCCGTGAGCTCACGAATGGCCTCGCGCTGCGCACCCAAGGTCTCCTTCTGCTGCACGACGGTCTCACGCAGCTGCAGCACAGCGGCCCGCAGCTCCTCTTCGGGGCTCAGCGCGCCGCCCTGCATGGGCATCGCGGGCAGCTGGCAGCCGGCGCGCGCCGCCTCCGGTGGTAGCGCCGTGCACACGAAGCGACTGCCGGGCGCCGGGCTGTCCTGGGCCCCGGCGACCAAAGCGAGCGCCACGCCGGCGACCAGAAGCGCCCACATCGTTCCGCCGCCGCGCTCACCTCAGCATCTGCAGGTGGACGGTCGCCGTCGGGGCGCGAGGCAGGAGGCGCCTTCGCCGCTGGTGCGTTCGAGCTCTTCGCTCGAGGGGCCGCGTGGGCCGCGGGACCCGCGCCACCTGCCGTCGCACTACAGCGCTCTCCTCCCGGCACGGCGCTCTGGCCCGGCCCGGCCTGCGCGCCCTTTCTTAAGTTGGGAGGGGGGGTACTGGCGCGTGGGGCGCGCGCCGCGGGCTCTGATTGGCTCGGCTGGTTGCGCGTCACGCGGGGGGCGGGGCGGGGGCGCATCTCACCGCGCGGGGCGCCGGGGAGGGCGCGTGGGCCGGAGCCCAAGGAGCTAGCGCGGCGTCCCGGGGCCCCCAGGAAGGGAGCAGTGAGGGCCAAAACGGCCATGGTGTCCTGGGGAGCGGCCGCCCGTAGTGCCCAGGCGCCCCTGGGGCCCGCCCGAGGACGCGGGCCTCAGGGGCTGAGGAGAAGCCGGGAGCCCCCGGCGCCCACGGTGGCTGCGGGCTTCCGGCGCGGCGCGGGAAGCCCGGGGGGACGGTGTCCCGCTTCCCGAGGAGGAGCCCGGGCGCGCTGGAGCCTGGCCGCCCACGTGGACGCGCGTCCTCCCCCAACCCCGCAGACTCGAGGGAATTCTCAGATCCGCAGGTGCCAGGTGTCGGCTGGACGGAGGGGACTCCGCGCAAATGAGGGGGCCAGAGTCACGAGGCCACCCAAGAGCTCTCCTGTGCGTGTCCAGCGACAGCCTAGTTGTAGGCAGTGACCTTATTCAGCAAGACCCGAGCTTGAGGACCATCAGGATGGAGTCATCGCGATGGCGCCACGTCGTAAAACAGCGCCACGTCCTTGTAAATGAGGAGGGGTGGGCACAGTGTCCACTTTCCCAATTTGAGACCGCTGTCCTGTTTCTTGGAGAGAACAGATAATGTACAGAAAACCCCCAAAGGGAGGAGCAAATTTGTTTCAGAATTTATCGATGGCTCATAAAAACAAGTTCAGAGCGATTTTGATGCACAGCTACAGACTGAGCTGAGTTACTGTGCATTAAAAATGGAAATCTTTATTTTTTTTTCCTCTCTGTTTTTTAAGAAATCTTGTTGCAAGGTCATTAATCACATTATCCATTCTACCAGAAACAAATGGATTTGTCACTTGTGCACAGAAGCAGAGGTTGATTCTGAAAACAAATTGTATCAAAATAAATGAAATTATTATGATAATATAAAATAGACTGCAGTGATTAATCTCTAGAAACCAAATTCTGACCTGCTTTGCACTTCAAACAATAGCTTCTGTTATGTAAATAGTTGTGGGGTTTTCAAGGACAATGTTGCTAAATTGTAAGAAAAGTTCTATTCATGAGAAGCTCTTCAAGGATAAACATTAAGAGACAGGAAACTTGGTCTAGCCACTATCCAAAGCAGAGGACAATGGAAGTAAATGATTCAGGTAAGAATAACCATCAGTGGGAAAGGTATGGGGTGGAAAATGGGGGGTGATGAGTAATGGGCTAATATCTTTGTTGGTCGGCATCATCAGGAAGTGTCAGTTTGACCTTGAATATATAACCTTGAGTAGACTCATTCTTCCTGCATCCTTACTTCAGCTCGTTGAAAACTCAGAAAGTTCAAATAAGCCCACTTATGCACAAATGGCAATAATGAAGGCAGTGAGGTTTCAAAGCACTTTTCGAAATGTTATATTTTAGATGACCCCACAAGGCACCAAATCCAGACATGTTCAGAATTCTCTAGATAAATTTGACTTTTAAATTTTTCACTCATAGATTTGATATTCTTTTACTTGTAGACCTAGGTAGATCTTAATTGGATGTGACAATAGATTATTATATTTCCTGTATTGCTCCGTATATCCCTTCTTGACACAGACTGATAATTCATATTTGCAACTACTTGCATAGAGGTTTGTTCTTTTAATAATTAAATAAAACCAAGTGTATTTCTAGAATTCTAATTTCCTCCTGAACAAAGAAGGCAGTGTACAAGAAGACATAAAAATAGCATATATCCCAAAATAATTACTCCTAAATTTCTTAAAAGAGATTCCAGTAGAAGTGATCAGTGAAATTGCCAAATCCCAGATGGAAAGACCCAGGCATTGGAGATGTTATTCTCTCTGGAGGCAGTATAATTAGAGGGTTTAGTTTGCAGGGTATATGCTATTTAGGGTTTTATTTTGTCTTCCTGTTGCAGTGGGAAATCTGCTGGTTTAGGAATGAGGAGTTCGAGTCCTCATACCAACTGTCACTAGCCACTAAGTGGTGTTGGGCAAGCCATTTCTCCTCTCTGGTCTTCAGTTTCTTTGCATATAAGAGAAAGGGAATTAGGCTAGACTCTCTAGTGGTCCTTCTGGCTCTATTCAAGGGCTTGGTATTTTGAGAAAGAAGGAATTGTTGTTCGGTGTGGCAACCATTTCAGTTTTCTGTTTGTGTTATGAACTACCTGTAGCCAATGGTGAGTCTGGAAAGACAGGCGGGTTGTGTACTACAGCAAGAAAACCTTCACACAAGCAGATGATGTAGCTGTGGTTGAAACCTGCTCTCAGCAACATGGATGCTTATCCTTGATTCACTCACAGCACAGCCATCTTATCTACCTGTATGATCCTGCATGTATGACTCAGGCTACCCAGGAGAATGGCTGTGTGAGTGGCAGAGACCAGGGCCCACAGATTTGCCTCCACTTGAAAAGTCGTGCAGATCTGCAGCAGTGAATCAGCGCCACCTAATCTCTTAGTGTAACTGATGCTGCAGCCTAGTAACCACCCACTCATTCACTATGTCTGCTGGTCCCAGGTCAGCTGAGAGCCCAGGATGGACTTACACCATGTGCTGGGAATCCTGATGAGCTCATTCCGCCTCCATTTTATTGCCCCATCTGTTTGGCTCCCTCATTCTTCTCACATGCATTTTTATCTTGGTCTTCTGGGAAATGTGCTAATTTCCACCATGGTGTCAGAGGATCCCATCATATACTCTTTTACATTTCCTCCTCTATTTCTCGGTGCCACTTGGGAAGTCAAGGATGGGGGTGTGAGCTCAATAACAGAATCCAAGGACAGCTTCCTGCAAACATGACTCAGGAACTGTCCTCGGTGCTGAATTTCAGTCAGAAGGGGGAAATAAGAATGGGGAGTGTGTGTGTAGGATTCAGTGCAGATACCACAGAATTTGGAGGCCCCAGAAGATCCTGACTAACCCTTTTTTATGTATAAAATGCTCAGATCCTTTCAAGAGTGGATTTTTCACTAAACTGAATTGCCTGGGAGAGTGAAAAGAGCTTTAACTTTGGAGTCAGACAGGCTCTTGTTCAGTCCTGGTTTTATAACTTGCCATTTGACCTTGACAGAACCTCTCTGAGCCTCAGTTTTCTCATCTCTAAAATTGAAGCTAAATTTACTGTCAATTATTGTTGCCAGGCTTGAGTGAGGTAACATATGTGAGCATTTAGCTTAATAGCAGGTGCATGGTAGACACTAATGACCCCCCTTCCCCCCTTTTCTCCACCGAGGCCAGGCTTGAATTATATAATTTCTATTAGGAACAAAGTTAAAGTTTTCATTTATTTTCTATAGTATACTTTATGACCAAATAAGTCAAGAATTCTGAGAATAGGCCAGCCTCCTTGGAGGAATGACAGGTCATGAGAACTTCAGGAAAATTTACTAGTGTCTCAACAAGAGAAAGGGATCCTACTCTGTAGGATTTTTTAAAAGATAAAGCATGGTATTATTGAACTCTAATCAGAGAATTCACTCAAAGTGAACAATTTCACATTTACGCTAACAGAGTAGAACACTAAACTGTATCCCAGGACCCATAGAAAATATTTGCAATATTTAACATTTTTAATAATTCTGATTTTGTGTTTCTGTGAGATCTAATAGATATATGCCCCCCAGATAAAATAAGTTTTCTTTCTTCAGCATATCGGGTTCTTCTTGAATAATATATTTCTGATTTAACCTGGGGACTTGTGAGATGAGACTTTGAGTTTTGGGGAGTTTCCTGCACAGGGTATGATCACATGTGGTTGGCAAGGTATGATTTTGGGGATTTGGTTATTAATATTACTCAACTGACCTCAACAAATTTAAAAAGTCTTGATGGCGTCCTCAGGTTTCAAGCAATGTAATCCATCACTAGATAAAACAGGGATAATAACTTAGCTCAGCTTTTTAATGTAAAGGATAGAAGACCAGGGATGGAAGGATGCCAAAGAAAGGAACTTTATGAACTTGGTTTGCTTTGAGGACTTGTAAGAATGTAGTCTTTAATTTCCCCCATATTAGGAAACATTAAGACACCATCTCACTTCTACAATGAATTGCAAAATTGGCCTAATTCTTATAAAGATTTGTAGATCAGTATCTCCACATGATTTAGGCACACAAGTAGCTTGCATGAATCTTTGAAAGTGAGAGTTGGAAAAGATTTTACGGAAATTTGAAGATTTGGAAACAGTTTAAGAAAGATGAAAATGTCATATAGTGATTAACAGCAGGTCCAAGGCCCTCTGGTCCCCAGAAAAGGGGTCTTTTCTCTATACCATTCTGTAACTTGTACATCAAACCATTGAAACAGGTCTTCCCTAAAAATTAACAATTTGCCATTGAGTCCAATGGCCCTTTCTTATCGTTCTTCTGGAACTTATCGAAGTCATCAATATTGTTGGTTAATTCCTTTTTTTTTAAAGTAAAGATTCCCATTGTTGATTTCTGTGATGTTGAATTCTTCTGATTTTCTTCCTGTGTTCTGGGCTGACTTGCCTTCCTGTCCTCCTTTCTTCCTTCCCTCCCTCCTTTCTTCCTTCATTCTATCCTTCCCTACTTTCTTCTCTACATCCTCTTTCACTATCTTGTCCTCAGTATATATGTCCAAAGCTGAGTGGTCCATACCTCTCTCCTTTTTCTATACTCTCTATCTTAATAGTTCTTTTAAGTGTTGTTAGTGACATTCCTGGTCTATATTCAGCTCCAGAAGATAAAAAAGAAAATCATCTGCATGTTGGACATCTCACGGATTCACTGCCTTCACTTTTAACTCCCCGTGTCCTTCACTAAAGTCGTCATTCTCTTCCTCATGCCTCTTCTCTTTCTCCTGTGTTCCCTATTTCTGATGTCATTATTTCTGCATCAT